TCTTTGTTAAGCGTTCTTAGATGTCAATTAGGCACGCGTTTTCCCAAAACGGGGAAAATCGGCCGCAGATATAAAGAGATACTTTGATTCTAAGCGATATTTAGTGAGTTTTTGTTGTAATTGACAACGAAAATCAAAGGTCACAAAGCAAGCGGCCGTCACTTCCGTGCTTTTCCCGCCAAAAAGCGCGGTCACGTGACGGCGACGTTTGCTTAAGTTAATAAATTATATTTTTTTCAAAAGTCACTGTTTACATTGTTGTTTTAGCGACGGAACTTTGATGTAACAAATAAGTAAATGCACTTACGACAATTAAGATTGTAATTCTTAAAACAATTAAGATCGGGATTCGTAAAACAAATGATTACAATTCAATCTAGTGAAATTCGAAAGTAACAAAATCTAACACAATTTGGGGCTGAATTTTTTTTTAATTTGATATCCGAAAAAAAAATACCATCCGAAACTCAATTGACCCCCTTTTTTTCTCGTTACTAAGACTAAACCACTGCAACAACCAGTGCCGTGACCACACAACGTGTGCTCAACAAAGATTCAATTCGACAATTGTGACATTAACGTTGAAGTGTCATTGCGACACACAACAACAGCATCACCACCACCACCATCAACGTTTCACTTCATCTAAGCACCCACCCCAACTGCATTTTAACCGATGAACTACGACGTTCTTTCACAAACACCCCCACCACCATCAACCACGGCTGCTCACACAAAAGGAACCGCTTGCAAACGATTCCAACCCCCCTTAAATGCCAGGAACTAGTCAAACTTTACTAATCAATGCACAGGGGGGGCCCTACTAAAGAGAAACGAAAACGAACTGGCTGGTAGCTCGATAATGGACACTTTTTTTAGTATCTCATCACCGACTAATCACATTCGGTAGTCAAAGACTATCGTTCATTTAAAAGGGTAATCAAACCCGACGTATTTTTTCTCATATTAAAGTGTCACCGATAAGTTACACGCTGACCACGCGGTCATCCGTTTGTGTAGATGCCACACACCAAACGACTGATGGGAGAAATTAAAAAGATAAAAGAACAGGACATTTTTTTTAAAATCTCAAAGCCTCCACACGTTCTCCCCAACAAATCTCAAAAGCCCTTACACGAAACCCATTCAAACTTTTGTCCCATGGTAATAGGTTTTTACCCTTTCAACTGGTACAAAAACTGACACCTTTATACAAGGCATCATGTTTGCAATAACCAAAACACAAGCAGTCAAAATGCAAACAAAAAGGAGCAACTATGATTATGATATGCATTGTCCTTGAAGTTGATTGGTCCACACCCGAGACAGCTTTTCTTAGAGCCTAGTGTCCATTGGTGTTGGACCAGATGACGCCAAAAGGCGTACAACTCTAAAACAGTGTCCCATGGTTTGCTTACAAACATTCTAAGATGCGCACAAAAGTCGATTAGAATACAGGGGTTCATTGTAGAAGTCTGTGGTGGATGGAGGCACCTATAACAACCTGGGTTGTGCATTGTGCTCAGCCCATTCAAAGCAATACCGAGACTCAATTCGTGCTTGGCTTTTGAAATCTCAACCAGACTGGCCGCATCCATGGAGATTTCATCACAGGCGGTTGCATTACGCATTTACACGTTAAATTACGTTATTAGCTTATACCCAACGCACATTCCAAGAGTGTTTGTACGATGGACAGGTAGGATGGAGAATAAGTATTTAAATCTTATCGCGTGTCCGAGTTGCTTTCGCGAAGAAGAAATTCTAAAAATGTCTACGTATTGAGTAACAGCGAAAATAAGACTCCAATGTGCCTTTATGCAACACCAAAGGCAAACCTATTTCAGGTCACTGCTATGCTCTCTATATTTAGCAACTACATTGTACACACTCGTGGCAAGCGCGGGTATTTTGTTTGAAAAAAAATACCTGTAATGTGAGTATTGTGCATCATCAATATCTCGCACTCCAAACTATTTTTTTAACTGCATCTCAAGTTGGACACTATATAAAGTAACAATCATCATCAGCAGCAGCAGCAATGGACAAAGCACTCCCCCCCCCCCTCCCCAATTCAGATATAATAATCCAACAAAGTGACCATACAAAAGTTGTTTTCATTCCTATGATACAGCATTGCAATGTTTGACTTTTATTGCTTTACGTTGAACATTAGTTGAATCTTCTAACTCAACAGTTCGTCTTTCGTGATATTGCAATGAAATGATCCACTGAGGCCACGCACAGGCGATTTTAAGGCTCCATCTCCACAGAAAAATGCACTCTGTTCAACACTTTCCATTCTTTGGCTGCCACTGTGTAGTTATTTTTGACCATCCTATCTTATATAGCGATGGTGTAAGTGTCCGGAAGAATTGAGTTTTCTTAACAGTATCGAAAATTATCATTCATGCGATAATAAGCACATATACAGGCACAATAACACAGTAACACACATATATACCAAATTACATTACACAACACACAAGCAATGTATATTCTGAACAACGTAAATACTATACATTCTACGCACATCACACACACACACACAAATGACGCATTAAAAATATAAACTTTAACATTTCTAAGACATTCATCAAAGCCTCGCCCAAAAAAATAAATCTTGTTTGGGTGGTAGCCGAAGAATAAAACACCAGCGAAGCATTTTTTAAGGCACAGGATACGGTGCAGGCAACCCCCTTATTATACAAACAACAAACACTTGTTTCACGTGCCTATCCACACTGCCCTAAATATAAATGGGTCTGGTTAGTGCCAACACGACTTCTCGATTATCGTAGTGTTTGCCTGTTATCTAATAGCTACTATTGGTGGAACTATTGAAGCTCCCGATTAAAAAAAAAACTGGTCATTATGAGACATTTCTAATAAATATGATTCTTATAAAGGCAGCATGCAGTCAAGCAAGTGCTCGAAGTAGTATCTCTCGCGTCTCTATGTGCCATGAAGGGCTATTGCCCGAAACGTCACCGATTATGTTTTTTCTTTTTATGGCAGTGTTATTGACGAAAGTGTTGAGTTTCACTGCTGCACTTAGTGCCAGCTATGACCATTCACTGGAAAAAAAGATTTGTGATACTGCCCTGGCAGTGTTGTAACAACAAAAACTCAACATTCGTCAATACCACTGCGCCGAATATAAAAAAAACGTAATGGCCTTTCTTCATAGCAGAGATGAAGAAGGGACGTGAATATGTAATGTTGCCCTCTTTAATGCAGAGTTGTTGATACATTATTAGGGTATTTACAATTAAATGGGCAATACAACAGCCATCCACATTACCACCCTTGATCCATGAATGGCTCAACAGCCTCGACATTAACATATAGCCTTTGCTCGTCACACCCCTACCCAACGGGCCATTCGAAAGAATAGCAGACATTGGACCCCATCACAAACAAAACCAGTGCCTTGCTTTGGCACAAGGGAACGAGCCCTGCTCACTGACACGCAGTCGGCGAACGGATAATGAATCGGACGAGCGAACCAGAGATGGACTTTGATCGTAATAGAGGAGCATTTTGGAGAAAAAGACAGAAAAACAAAAGCCCGTTTCAAATAAAATTAAGTGTCGACAGTGAATGCACAAAGCATTTGCATTCCTCTATTTTTAACAAAAATCCTTAATAGATGTATGATGACATTGCACAATCGAGAGAAATGGTGGCAGCAGAAGCTTTAGAAGTCATCCATGCAGCAGTGGACGGATCGACCATAGCTGGTGAAGATGACGATTAATCGATGGCCCCTCCGCATGATTTTACATAAACACATATCACGGTGCCACCATCGAAAAATGCTGCCGAGACCATTTACGTCAGCATCTCCCCGACCTTTAAAACATTTTGAGTCGCAACATATCATGTTTTGCGTCTGCAGTGTTGTTATTGAATCCTCCCTGCTATATAATGAAGGGCATCATCAAGGGCATTGATTGCATAAGTTAACCGCATCTACCTCTACGAGTCTGCATGGTCGAGGCTGATGAGAACTGAAGAAGCTGACTGGGCTGTGTGTGAATTAACATTTGTCTGCATGAATGAGCCTTGGGCCTGGATTAAGGAGTTCTTTGTGGTCCTGGGTGGATGGGTGACTGTGTCATGGCCTCAGGTAAATGAGGCTTAATGCTTACTATTGGCTTCAGCGAATGTTTTAATCAATATTATCCCAATGGCTTGGCTGAATTGGTTATGGCCTGGGAAAATGGACTAATCAATGTCGCTCCGCAGGCCTGTGGGTGAATTGGCTATGGCCTGAGTTGGGTGGCTGGATGATAAGAAAATGGTCAGCCGGGCAATGTTGGTTGTGGTCACCTGCCTGCGTGGGGGTGCATCTCCCCATGATTGTGGTACAGCTGGCTTGGGCGGTTGAAAAAATACTTGGATGCAATTTGAATGACCTTGCTTTAATAAGTGGTAACCCCCTTGCATGTAGGTGTAGGTACAGAGGGGGGCTTAGTCTCTCACTCAATCATATCCCAAATGCTGCTCTATTGGCTTGGAACAAGGTGTATCGGCGCAAGGGACCAACCACTAGGGTACAGGGTACGCCTTACCCATAATAATAAGCGCATATTATGTTACCCAATACTATAATCCCCATAAAATAATTTATATTTTGCCAAAATAAGGCAAGATGGATGTGGCATCGCAAACTAATTACCAAAACAGCTTTCTTGACTGTTCTGGTTGAAATTAAGCCCTGAGTGTGGATTTAGGTGTGTGTGTGTAGGAAGGGAGTCTGGCTGACTGGCTTGGCTCTGAGTGTCCGTGAGTGACGTGTGTGCACAATTAAATAAGTGTGGGGGATTGGGGGTGGGGATTTGGGAATTGGTGCATGGGGTTTGAGGATTTGTGGGGGGTTGGGGTGGGAATGGTGGGGGGGTGTGGGTTGGCGTATCGGGAGGGAATTGGGATTGGTGATGGTGGGGGGATATGGATTAATGGTGGTGGGGGCAGTGGACTGCACGCTCTCTCACTTGTCCATGTTCGGCCGCTCGTCCACCGGCAGTGTCCTCTGGCTTGAAGTAGAGACGTGAGCTGGACAGCATCTCTCCACGGCCGCTGTCCTCCCACAGCAGCTGCAGCTCGGCCAGGCAAGTCGGCTCGCCGGGTGCCCAGCGCAGTGCGAAGAACTCCCCCAGCGCCAGCACGCGGGGGGCCCCGGGGCGACCCTCGTCATCCGCGCACCTCCTCCTCCTGCTGCTGCTCACGCGGAGGGGCCCTTCTTCTCCAGGGCCCGCGGTGGGCCAGGCTGGCACCGACGCGGGCCCCGCTTCGAGGGGGCTCACCGCAGTGGGCACGGCCCCCCCTCCGCCGCAGCAGGGCCGGAACGTGAATGCTTTGTAGAAGGTGTAAGGTCCATGGGATCCACACGGGGCCCCCACCCACTATAGGTTGGAGTCGCGGGCACACCGTGGAGGGGGGTTGTGGAGAGGATGAGGCCGAAGGTGGTGGTGGTGGTTGAGGTGGAGGGGGGTGGGTGAGGTGCCAGGGGAGTTTGATAGGGGGCAGGGTGAGAGGATCGTGGGGTGAGTTGAGGTGGTGGGTGGGTGGATCGTGGGGTGAGTTGGAGGTGTGGTGCATGTGGTATAAGTAGTGTCCGATATAAGACGACACACAGGCACATACACAAAAACACAGTTTACGTTGTTGGCGAAATTTATTCAAATGCACACATCCACACACACGGCACACACATAGCTATGCAGTATCCTATATTTTGTAAAATACGTGTAACTATACAATACCTTCCAATACATTTATGAAATAATACTTATTCAAATACACAATATTATAAACACACAATTCCATTGCATATTAAAATGTATACACAGTTATACACACGCACTCGCAATTAACACTGCTTTATAAACAAGACAAATACAGAACAAGATGACGTTTCGGGCAATGGTCTTTCTTAGTCGTAGAGATAGGACACGGATTAACTGGCTATCATTACACAATCTACACCGCAGTTCCTTAATTAAGTTTAATTAAGTTTCAGAGCACACGGTTACTGTATTCTACGACAAAACACGATTGATGGATAATTGCAAGTCAAACACACACATTAAATCACAGACTACCCATATCGGCTGTAAGACATTGAAAATACGTCCGATATCACTTCATCTCTGCAGAAAAATCCAGAATAAAAGTTGCAAGTGTCTTTACTTGAAAGGGCAGACGCACACACATGGACTCAACAACACAGTCAGCCATGAGCTCAGCATTTTTCTCTCTCTCTCTCCTTTGCACCGCCTTAAAATAATAATAAACTTGTCTAATTCACAAACTTTTTTTTCAAAACCTTTGTTTTTATCCAAATCAGACTCAAACAAATGTCTTGCAGATAACAAATCACACGACAGCGGGAGTGGGAGGAACACACAAGTAACAAGCGTATATATATTATTTAGTTATACGTACAAAAATTGTTTGTATGTTATTCGCGAAAGGAAAATTAGATGGGACTGGCAGAAATATTCAATAAAACTTTCACGGACGTGAATCCCAACAATGCCACGCAAGAGATGAAGCAAGGCTTGGGGGGGATGGGCACTTAATTTAAAAAGGAAGCAAATAGTTTAGGGAGGGTGTAGGACGTCAATTAAAATGAGAATACGTGACAAAAAGGCACGGGGACTGATAATTATGTTTGGTGTGTGTAAAAAAAATGCTTCTTTTTGTAGTTAAAAAATAAATAAAGACGGCAGCTACGTTGAAAAAAAACCCCCCAGATCGGATTTTAATCTGCGTTCGGTCAAAAGAAATCGCGTCGCCACGTGACTCGCTTCGGGAGGATATTTTGTGTTTCTAATTATAACCGCGACTCTTACGTTCTCCCAGAAGCAAATTCTGCGCTTAATTCATTTACGTTTACGGCAAACAACGCTAACGTTGTTGTTACAACATGCTCGGCGAGTTTAAATGTCGCGGTCGTTAATATTAAAAAGATGCGTTCGGTCGTCATTTAGGGGGGGGGGGTGATTATTGTTTGTTTGGCGACTGCTGTTGCGTTTTAATTTTAACGAATGTTGGTTTTGTGTTTTGCTAAATCCGCGAGTTTTTTTTTTTACTGAGCACGTCGTCGGAGGCGGGAGGATACAACAACAAAGGTCATTCCCATCGCCTCTCTCGCTCAAAGTTGCGACTAAATACACCCAAATTAAGTGCAAATTCTAACTAAAGTTTCTAATTCCCACGTTTAAACTACCGAGTACGTGTGGGAGCCTCCACCCCACACACATCACGACCCACTCGTCGATATCCGAAGAGAGTTGGGGGGGGCAGAGGAAAGGTCGCGGACGCATCAACCAACGCGGAGCGGCCACGAGCGACGACGATGATGATAACCAGGCGGACGACGCAACAATAACGCGATCTAATTAAGTACTTGGAAATTTCCAGATTTTTTTTGAATTAATCATCGTTCATAATAATCGACGTCGTGCGATGGGGACGACAACCTTACCTCGATTGGGTTGTGTTCCATAGCGCAGCAGCGGCGGCGGCGCTTGATTGAGCCGCGTTAAGTCTCTTACACGCCGCGCATTCTCCGCTAAAAGTTGCTGCTGCTGCTGCCGCTGTGTAAATTACATCGCCGGGCCTGCTGCACGCAGACTCTGCCCATCTCCCTCCTCCTCCATCCCCTCCTCCCTCCACCCCACCATCTCCCTCCCCATCATCTCCCTCCCACCGTCCGCAATAACCCCTCCACCAACTCCCTCCTCTCGCCGCGACTCACATCATGCTGATCCACGCCCCAACAACCAAACCACCACCCCCATGCGCTTACACCCCCATACGCTTACACCACCAATACGCTTACACCACCAATACGCTAACACAAACATGGATATGCACAGCCACATGTACATATGCACACACCCCTCCCCCTCCCGTTCTATCCACGTCATACGTACATTGACCTCCCGACACGCTGAAATACGTCCACTTTAACATTAATAGACACTCCACAATAACTGAGAACGTAATACTGTATAATTAATATGCAGTCGTTGCAAACCTCCCCCACCCCAACCCCATACTCGCACACGCACTACACACCATAACACATAAAACAGACAGGCATACGTCTACAATTATACACCACTCACACATACATACACTCACACATACATACATACACTCACACATACATACATACACTCACACATACATACATACACTCATACATACATACATACACTCACACATACATACACACGTTCACGTTACAGGCCTTCACACGCAAGCATATATTCACGTATCCACCCACCCGACACAACGCACACAATAAGGCTCACTTCCCACCCAACACACACACAATCATTACACCCAACACACACACACAATCATCACACACACACAATCACACACACAATCATTACACCCAACACACGCACACAATCATCACACACACACAATCAACACACACACAATCATTACACCCAACACACACAATCATCACACACACACAATCATTACACCCAACACACACACAATCACACACACAATCATTACACCCAACACACACACAATCATCACACACACAATCACACACACAATCATCACAGCCAACACACACACAATCATTACACCCAACACACACACAATCATTACACCCCAATATCTCCGCCTTCATTTGCCCTCCACCCCCCCCCCACATCTCCCCGCTCGTGGCCATATTATATGAATGTAATGAAACGGAGATGAATTTGGGAGTTATCAACCTGTAGGGAAGGTGGAGGTGGGGGTGGTGGTGGGTGGTGTTGGGGCGGTCTGGCATTGGCGAGAGAGGGGGATGTTGGAGGCAGGGAGGGAGGGATGGAGGGGAAGGAATTCATTGTTTGAAACTTTTTTTGTTCCTTGTCCGCGTTGCGCGACGTGCCCCGTGCCCCCCCTCTCCTCCTCCCTCCTCAACAAGTTGGTTGCGTCGACCACGAGGCGGTGGGGGAGGGGGGTGAACGCGTGCATCGTGAATGTATTCCGAGCAGAATTATTAAATGTGCAATTCATTTAGTACTCGAGTAAGCAACTTTATTTTTTGGAGGAGGGGAAAAAAACTAATTGCCGCCGCTTTCTTAACCGTAGTTTGGGAAAGCACAACAACAACAATAAGCAGCAACACAAGTAGTAGTTGTTGTTGAATTGGGCGCAACGTTTGCGTTGCCGTCGGCTCCATAATCGACGCGCCGCTTCCAGGAACACGTGACGTCACGGGGCAATCAACGAGCGAATTCGCCACATCCGGCGGAGCGTCACGTGACGCACCTAACCCCTCCCCCCCCTCCCCTTCCCCCCTTCTCTTATCCCTTCATGCCCCCCCCACCCACTCACACCCCCCCCCACCCACTCACAACCCCCCCCACCCACTCACACCCCCCCCCACCCACTCACAACCCCCCCCACCCACCCATCATCAATTCCCCCCTAACCCCTCCCCATCACCCACCATCAATCCCCTACCCCTCCCCTTCTCTTATTCCCCACCTCCGACTTCCCCCCCCCATACCCCTCCCTCCTCCACCCATCTCACCCCTCCCCCTCTCATCAATCCGCTACCTCCTTCGCTTATCCCCCCCCATTCCTCCATCCCTCCACCCCTCATCAATCCGCGGAACGAAGGGTAAACCACGCCCCATCACCCCCCCATCATCACCCCCCCCATCACCCCCCCATCACCCCCCCCTATCACCCCCCCATCACCCCCCCCCCATCACCCCCCCCATCACCCCTCCCCCCACTAACTCCGACCCCTCCCCCTTTCCCCACGCCGCAATTTGAGAACGAGGATTTTTTTTTTGAATCATAAAAAAATTCGTTCTGGCAAAAAACAAAGTCACGCTAATGCGATTATGCAACTCCAGCCAGCAAGCGCTCGAAGCCGTTTATTTATACAGCGCACACACACACACACGCGCAATAACTCAGACAAATATCGCCTATTGTTTTAAGACTCACAAGGTGTAAGGATGAATCGATTACTATTTAGCTTTAGTGTGTTTTTGTTTAACGCGTTATGCATCGACGATGTTCGATCGCTGCGCCGTACTACAACGTGGTTCGAGTGACCCTCTGGCAACCACTAGAGGCCGCTACACTATTATTACAGTAAAGCAGTGTTCACATCGATTAATGAATCGAATCGCGAGTTGGATGTCGGGGTGGGGGGCAGTGGATGATAGAGGGTGCATAGTTCCAGTACTAATAAAACAAACTATTTCTAGACTGTACATTATAGACTGTAGCAATATCGTCACTACGGGCCTGCGCATCAACTTCATGCAGAAGTGGAGGTGACGGCATCGTGGCAGCCACGAGGAGGGGTGGTGGGTGGGTGGGCCGCGGCGTGGTTGATAGCCCCTTCATCCAGCAGCGGACAGAGCATGACCCACGGTGATTAAGACACTCCTCTGTGGCGGTGACGTAATTACAACGCATCGCTTTTGCTCGCCCAGTTGGCGGAGCACGTGCGCGCGCACACGTGCACGCGGACACTGTTATTGGCCCATGCGGCACGCATAGGTCAGTTTTTGTACGGTCATCTTTGAGGATATCAACGTAATGCGCAGCCCTCCCCCCGCCTTACCTCCCCAACCACCCAGTTCCCAACCTACTCGGCTCATCTGCCGACAGGAATAGGACGGGGGGGGGGGGGGTGAAAGACACGCGTGCTAAAGACACCGGTCCCCGTGACTTGCATCCCACTGGGATTTTTGCACAGCGTTTGGTGTACGGTGCTTTTTTTCTGGAAGACTTTGCAGTTTTTTTCCTGGATTTTTCTGTTTGCACATAGTCACGTAGTCATTTTAAGATGTTTTCTTATTCATGTTTTTTGTTTGTTGCGGTTGCACCCGATTCAAGAGCCGAATGGTTCACAGGGCTATACTAAATAAATGAAGCTGAAATGAAACTGAAAACTGTGCTGCCTACACAGGCTGGTGGGGCAATTGCTGGTAACGAAGACCGGCACGGCGCAACGAGCGGGTGGGTGGCCAACACCACGCCCGGCCGCCTTTGTCTCCCTAAAGTGGCGATGTTTACACACCGCATCAGGTACTCGTTTGAGGCCGAGTCGATCTAGGGGAAGGCCCAGGACCGGTTCAAATAATCGTCACCGGTGTTGGTGGCCGTGAGCGGGAATTGAACTCTACACTAGGGCCACACCACAAAGACCCCGCACCCCGCCACTCCCGGTGTAAAATGAGAGAGTTGCGTTTCAAACCGTGCCGCTTAATGTGCAAGAGAGCCCTGCGGGTAATTCGATGCAGCAGTAGCTGGGTAGCGGTGCTGTGCTACGAACCTGGCGTCCCGAGTTTGATTCCCGTTCGTTCACGACCAACACCAGTGACGATTATGTGAACCGGTCCTGAGCCTTCCCCTAGGTCGACTCAGCCTCAAAAGAAGTACAATACCTGGCGGTGCGGTGTAAACGACGCCGCTCGGGTCTTCATAGGTGCTCGCGAACAGCACTTGCCCCAACAGTCTGTTAATGCTTGTGCATAAGCGTGTGTAAATGTATACGCTTCAGTGTGTATTCACTGGCCCCATTCCAGCTTTACAGCTCACATGGGGCAATTACACAACACACAAACATTGAACAACTGACTGCCAATTACAGAAGCATAAGTGGCCAACACTTGAACACAACAAGATCGTCTCAATTGAGACAGCCTGAGGATCTTCTATTGTTTAAGGATGACTAGTGTACAGTAGTGGACTTTAAAATTATGTTCTTGTGAGGTACCGTAATCTATATGCTGTAATTTCATTTAATAAGCCCCCCCCCCCAACTGCATGTTCACTGATACTTCCACTTAAATAATGTTTTAATATGAAACATTAAAATAATAATACAAATCCAACCCCCATTTAGGTGCGTGGGAATTGTTTGACCATACTTCACTACGCTGGTCAATGCGTGGTGAAGTATGGTCAGAGTATAGTATATATATTAAATACATGTACTGTGTATATATAATTGAATACTGTACTTTATATTCGAGTTAAACATTAAACTAATGTTAAACGTAAAGCTACGAAAGTAAAAGATTGCATTTCTGTATAAGTAAAACACTGCAATGTGTATGGGCGCTAGGTGGATTATTACGAGATGGTGATCATGGCTGCGGATGATGATGATTGTTCTACAAAATTTTCGACCCACCAAACTACGTTCCCTCCAGTTTTGTTGGGAACTTCCACTCTGTCAAATCCACAACAGAGAAATTGCGGGGGACAATGACTACACATCCACTCGTGTGCTGTGTGTGTGTAAGAGTTGTGCAACTAACGAAGACAAAGATCCCCCCCTATAGCCTCGAACGGACTTTCTGGGCCATGTGCTCTTAGCAAGCGCCTATGAAGCCCTGCTCAGCACACGCGTAGGTAGGTGGTGTGGCAGGAACCACGTCTGATCGCCTTTGTCTCCCCAATGATGATGTTTATCCAAACCGCTCCAGGTGCTCATTTAAATCCACTCACGATCCTGGGATATAACAATTTGATCTATTTATTAATCCACCTATCAATCAATAGTTTATTTTTTCATTTTTGTAGAGCGCTGTACAGAAAAAACGAATAACTGTGAAACGCATACAAAGATTGTAAATATATTTTTCAAATATGCACGTGAACTGATTAAAATAAGAT